ATTTCTTAATTTGGATGCTGGTTGCCCAGGTGTGATCATTTCGTGCATATACTTTCAATTTGTGCATTTCTCTGGTCATATGAAATAATTCAATAACAAGTTCAAAGAAACAAAGCTACAGGAGCCAAAAGAAAAAAAAAGTCACCTACTGAACTGTATAGCACAAGTGCTGCTACCTGTGGGAAGAAAATTAATTACATTTCATTTAATGCGACCAGAAAGAGAATCACCTGAAAAGCTAAGTGAGAAACTTTAATCAATTTCCTAAAATCTTCATCCAGAATTTGCTAGATTTTTTTTAATGATTTCCTCCCTCACATGAAACTATGGCTATAAATTAAGATAAAATATTGCTTTTCCCTCTGTCTTCATATACCAGTAAAACATTATTGCTCGAACTTGTAAGAAATATATGTACGAAGGCAAAGTTGTTAGAAAACATCTGAAAATACCCCAAGATGACCCATTTAGAATACTAAAGATCTAAATAGATATTTGGGGTCAGAACTATCCTAATTACCAGCACATTAATGAAATGAACTGGATAATGACCAAATCTCTATCTAGTTTCTTTCCATATAGACTGAATTCTGCTAGGTGAGGCCACACACGTAGGGAAAGACATTCAAGAAAATGCTGTGCTACCAACAGCAAGGAAGCTCCAGGAAAACTCTGCCTTCTCCTTGAGACTATATTTGGTTCACCTGTGAATTTGTTTCAGCACATTTTTCTCTTCCCGAAGTAATACAATCGGCTGTCAGATCAATGATTTCTTTCACCTTCTCATTGTTCTGTAACCCTTCTTTGATCAATATGATATACTGCACGATTGAGCCATTTGATACATGTAAAAAGTGATTGTACACAAACTTGCATCAGAAGTAACTACACCACTAAATCACATAATTAGAAGCACAGATTGCTTGTTTTTTCCAAAAACTTCATAATAACTCCAGCCATTACTGCCATAGAGCCTCTCTGGTCCCACAGCACAGGAGGCAGGCATTAGTAGTTTCCCCAAATGCTAGGGGACTAATTAAATATTTGTAGAATCATTAGCACTTAGACAAAAAATGTTTCCAGTCTTTGAAATGGGAAGTGGCTTTTGAGGGGTAGGGGATAAAGTAGTAAGTATCCAGTCCCTGCATATTATTTAACACCAAACTAATGATTCAACACTAAGGCAGGCAAGGATTCCAGGATAAATATCAATTAGCAGCCCCTACGTATTTCATGGACACAGACCTTACAGGGCACCTTAATTCTAATCATTCTAATCCTATTTTCTCAGCTAAAAAGATCTTATTCTTTAATTTCTACTTTCAAATAGGAAGTTCTCCCTACTTCAACCTTGTTTTAAATACTTATCCTTCTAAGCTAAAATTTTCCTTGCAATTCAATGCCTAGTATTCTACTTCCTCCTTCCCCTCAAATTATCCCTTTAAATTGTTTTCTACTGATTTTTATAGGCCCCCAAAGCCTCTTCCTCAGGATAATGTACAATTCAAAAAGCCCT